AATTACCTGAGGAGGACACTCTTGGTGCACTCCCTTGTGGTCTTTGTGCACAGTCTTGTTGTAGTTAAGCCTTGATTGTTGTAGTTATCACTGGGAAGAATTGACCTCCAGGCCAATTGGCTGTGAGAATCACCTGTGTCTGCAGTGGGAGAACTTCTGTGCTGGAGACACCCTTATGGGGCAAGACTTGCTTCAATGGGGCTTTGGTGCTCACTGAGTCTGCCCCCTGAGTGTGTCCTTTATGTTTTCACGGAGCTGCAAACTGGATGGTCCCACTCTGACCTCTGGGCTTCCTGGCTCCTGGATCTCTAGGGAGGTGCTAATCTAGCCTTTGCCTGCGGCTACCCAGCAAAAGCCTCCCTGCAGGGCTTGGGCGGGCGGGGCGGGTCCCACGGGATCAACAGGGCGGGGCTAGCAGTTATGGCTGCTCTCAGACTTGCCCTCAGAGGCTCTGCTTTTCAGTGTCTGGGTAATTGCTGCAAGCCCCTCGGAGAGAAAGCTGCCCTAGGGTTCTGACTGATGCCAGACAGTCCCGCTTCTCCCGTATGAGTCGGGGTCCCTAGAGACTCGCCCGGAACTGGAGCTCAGAGCCTGGGACTCCCTCCCGATTGAAAATGACAACCGCGCCCTCAGCCGCCAGCCTGCTCCACGTGCACCTCCGCACCTCAGTATTTTACTTACTCACTGCGCCTCCTCTGAGTCTCGGTATGCTTTTCTCTTTCCTTCTAGTTGTAGAATTTCCACTCACCCAGCCTTCCTGTGGTTCTGGATGATGTCCGTTCCGTCTTTTAGTTGTATTTTTGAAGTGGTTGTTCGAGGCAGCAAACTCCGGTGTTTACCTATGCTGTCATCTTGGTTTCTCCATCGAGAAGATTACTTTCTATTCCTAGTTTATTGAGTATTTTTTATCATAAGTGGGTCTTAGATTAATTTTATCAAATGCTTTTTTGGTTTATTGAGATGACTACGTGATTTTTGTTTTTTATTCTTTTAACATGGTGTATACATCAATTGATTTTCATATGTTGAGCCAACCTTGCATTTCCTGGAATAGATACCCCCATTCCTGGCATATAATCCTTTTGTTGCTGGATTTGGTTGGTTAGTATTTTGTTGAGGATTTTTACATTTATATTCATAAGAGACATTAGTCTATAATTTTTTGTGATATCTTGTCTGGTTTTGGCATTCGGGTAATATTGGAATCAAGAGTAAGTTAATATATTCTTGTATTTGAAAAAATTCTCCGTTTTAAAATCTAGTGACATAAATCTCAATAGCTATAACCCACACATACACAAAAGTTCTTTGGATTCCGGGTAATTTTTAAGAGGATAAATACCCTGAGATCAAAAAGTTTGAGAACCACTGGTTTAGGCTAAGAGACATGCTCTAGGACCAAAAATTGGGACTCTTGTTTCTTGTTAGTCATAAACCAGTCCCATTTGTGTCATTTTAGGCAAGTCATAAACTCAGGGTGCCTCAATCTTATATAATAAAAGCCTAATATATAAGTGTCCGGTCATCCGGTTGGCCATTCAACCAAAGTGTAATATGCTAATGATATGCTAAGGCTGCTCAACCGCTCACTATGACATGCACTGACCACCAGGGGGCAGACAGTAGACTGGTTGACCAGTTGCTATGACGTGCACTTACCACCAGGGGGGCAGACACTCTGACTGTCAGGTTAGCTTGCTGCTGGAGTCCAGCCAATTGGGACTGAGTGAGATGGGCCGGACACGCCCTGGAGCCCTCCCACGGTCCCTCCCGGGCTGCTCAACCTCCCGCATCCCTCCCCAGCCCCGATCATGCACCAGTGGGGTCCCTTGGCTTGGCCTGCGCCCTCTGGCAATCCAGGGCCCCTTGTGGGATGTCAGAGAGGTGTTTTTGGCCTGATCCCACAGGCCAGGCCGAGGGACCCCACTGGTGCATGAGTTTGTGCACCGGGTCTCTAGTAATATATAAAATAGAAACACAACAAGACTGTGTTAACTTCGCAGATGCATAAAATAAATGAATACTAGATATATATTAGCTGATGCTGAATCATAAAAATATATTTTTAAATTGAAATATTTATAAGAGCTTATGTAGGAGCTTGTGGTATTGTTATGTGACAGTATCTTGAATTGTGTCATATAGATAAAAATTTGTTTGTATTTGGAACTTGTATTTAAGCTTTATGTGACAGTACGTTTTCAACCAGTGATTTTTATACTTCTTTAGGAAGGCATTTCATAATAACTCTGTAAAGCCTTATAAACCACTCACCAGATATCTTCTCTCCCCTCATTCTTGTGTTCCTTTTTATATTTTTGGGAGGCTATAAACCACTCACAGTTACCCTCTTTATATTTATTTTTCAGAGGTATTGGATTAGAAAAAAGGTTGAGAACCACTCTAAATCTTCTCAGGGATGTACCTAATTTTCCTCACACCTGTTTCCTCAAGGCCAGGAAACCAGACCCATATTTTTCTACATATTGTCTGTTTATTCTTCTATTCTCCTGTAAAGTTCCTCTTTTTTTTTTTTTAAATGTATTTTTATTGATTTCAGAGAGAAGAAGGAAGAGGGAGAGAGAGAAACATCAGTAATGAGGGAGAATCATTGTCTCCAGCATGCTCCCCACTGTGGATCGAGCACATAACCCGGGCATGTGTCCTGACTAGGACTCGAACTTTGACCTCTTGGTTCATAGGTTGATGCTCATCCACTGAACTACATTTGCTGGGCTGAAATTCCTCTTTTTTAAAAACTGGTTCCCTGCTGTCTGTATATCTAATGCTGTTTGTTTAGTTTAGGAATCTGTAGATCACTCTTCTTTACTCACTGATACTTTGGTTTAATTCTTGACATCATATTGGGCAGTTGGGAGCATTACATTTGAACCTCATCTAGCACCTTAACTTTATTTTTTCTTAATTTTTGTATTGCAGTGATATTCAAGTATACTTTTCTGGACGTACCTAATCATATGGTTTGAAAATGGTTCTACTTCCAACCAAAATCTCCTAAATATCTATCTGAGCATTTTTCTTGTTTCTTTAGTTTTCTGATTTATTCTTTATCTCTCTATATGTCGTCTCTCTTTGGCTTTATCCTTCCCCCAACCAGTACCATTACTGTTGTGTTTCCTTACCCTATTGAAATATTCATTGTCAATTCCCTGCTTACTATGAATTTAAATAGCTGCAAATTGTATAAGCTAGTAGACTGGTGTTTTATGTTTAGTTAGCTTCTTATCACAGCTTGACAGTGTTTTAGATTTCTTTCCTGCTCCTTGCATTTGCTGTTGTTTTACCTCTGTCTTAAGCCCTCTGCTGCCCTCTGCTTTTCTCACTCAGTTTCATAGAACAGTGTTATAAAATCTGTATTCCTTGCACTTCTTTGAGATGTGTATCGATAGGTGGTCTTGGCAAAAGAGGCTCCTTTAGGCATATGTTGTAAATTATATCTGTCAGATTTATCATGCTCATTAGCATATTGAAGAGTCTGAAAGGTCCTCTGGAAAGCAACCCATTTAACTTTAATACAGCTTCTCCCTCTCCCCAACTTAACCAAAATTGCTTGTGATAAGGCCCTAAATAACCTCCTAATGCTTTTTACTATTATTGGTAATTACTGTCATTTACTTTACTAACTCATCTCCTTTTCTTCACCACTATGTGCTCCTGTTTTACTGAAGTTAACCTAAAACAGAAATTATGCCACTCTTCTGCTTATAAATAAACTAGAGGCCCAGTGCACGAAATTCGTACACTCGGGGGCGGGGGGTCCTTCAGCCCAGCCTGCACCCTCTCGCAGTCCAGGAGCCCTTGGGGGATGTCTGACTGACAGTGCCACGGGGAGCAGCCTAAGCCGACAGTCGGGACATCCTTAGTGCTGCTGTGGAGGCGGAAGAGGCTCCCACCACCACCGCTGTGCTCGCCAGCTGTGAACCCGGCTTCTGGATGAGTGGTGCTCCCCTTGTGAGAGTGCACTGACCACCAGGGGGAAGCTCCTGCATTGAGCGTCTGACCCCTGTTGGACAGTGTGCATCATAGCAACCTGTTGTTCCGCCGTTGGGCTGAAACCAGCTCTCCGACATCCCTGAGGAGTCCCAGATTGCGAGAGGGCCCAGGCCAGGCCGAGGGACCCCACCAGTGCACAATCGGGGCCAGGGAGGGATGTGGGAGGTCGGCCAGCTGGGAAGCGACTGCGGGAGAGCTCCAGGGCATGTCTGGCCCATCTCACTCAGTCCCGATAGGCTCACTCAGTCCCAATCTGCCCCAGCGGCAAGCTAACCTACTGGTTGGAGCATCTGCCCCCTGGTGGTCAGTGCCTGCCTGCCTGATAACCCTAACCGCTCTCCCCTGCCTGCCTGATCGCCCCTAACCACTCTGCCTGCCTGCCTGATCACCCCTAACTGCCTCTGCCTGCCTGCCTGATAACCCTAACCGCTCTCCCCTGCCTGCCTGATCACCCTAACTGCTCTCCCCAGTCAGCCTGATCCCCCTAACAGCTCTCTCCTGCCAGCCTGATCGCCCCTAACTGCCTCTGCCTTGGCCCCACCACCGTGGCTTTGTCCCGAAGGACATTTGGAAGGTCATCCGGAAGATGTCCGGTCTAATTAGCATATTACCCTTTTATTAGTATAGATTTCCTATGTTGCATATAGATTGGAATTCTTGTATTTTCTTTGTTTCATTTTCTTTTATATTAACTGTGGTACATCACAATCATTTTCCTGTTAGTTGAAATTCTTATTGAGTAATATGTTTTACTTCTAAAATTCCCTTGTTTTGAAACTGCCATAATTACATTAGAACCTCCTTAACGAGCATTTGGCTATTATTTACTAAGTGGGCTTTAATTCTTTCTCATATAGTTTTCAGAGCTTAAACATTTTTTTACTATTATTTCAATTTGAGAACAATTTTTAAAAGTTTTTTTTTAATGTCTCATCAAATTTTAAAAAGTGACTTTGCATTTTAAATAACAGGTGTTTTTTTTTTGGTTTGTTTGTTTATTTGTTTGTTTTTAATTCAATAGATTGGTTGCTTGCCTAAACTGGATTTGAAGCAATTCAAACTACTGGAGATCTGCTATTTTACAATATCACAATTGGAAAGAAGCAGCTTTTCAAATAATGGAAGAGTCTAAGACCTCTAAAAATGAAAATCATGAACCAAAGAAGAATGCTTGGGCTCTTTCTGAAGAAAGCAAAACAGTTAAAGTTATAACTAATCAAACTTTGAAAGCCAGAAATGATAAATCCATAAAAGAAATTGGGATCAGCTCCCCAAATAGGAATAGTAGTAAAAAAAATAAGCAAAATGATATTTGTATAGAAAAAACAGAAGTTAAATCATGTAAAGTAAATGTTGCCAATATTGCAGGCTCCAAAGATTTGGGGTTAGTCCTTCGAGATCAAAGTCATTGCAAAGCAAAAAAGTCACCTAATTCACCTGTGAGAACTGAAAAGGTACCTGTTTCACAGGCAAAAGTAGAAAAAGCATCCAGTTTACAGGCAAAAGCAGAAAAATTGACAAAGTCACCTAATTCACCAGTGAAAACAGAAAAGGCACCCAGTTCACAGGCAGCAATAGCAGAAAAGGCACTTAGTTCACAGAAGAAAGAAAAAGCACCCAGTTCTCAGATGAAATCAGAAAAAGTTCCCAGCTCACCAGCAGAAGCAGAGAAGGTGCCCAGCTCACTGTTGAAAGAAAACATAAGGCAGACAGAATTACAGCAGATTGGAAAAAAAAATCCAAGCTCTTGTACTTCTCTTGACAAGGTGAATATTGATGTAGAGGGAGAAAAATCTGCTCCAGAAAACTCACCACGATCTCAGAAGCAACAAACATCTACAGATAATACTGGTGATTCTGATGATAGTGCGTCAGGAATTGAAGACATATCGGATGATTTGAGTAAGTACAAATTAGATTATTCCACAAGTCTTTTTTTGGGGGGGGATTTTCCTATATTAACATTCTTTAAATTATCCCCATTTTTATTTTAACCACTTTGAAATTCAGAAGAACATTAATAATATGGCTCTTTAAGCTAAAAAAAGAACTTTACATTTATTATAGTAGGTAAAAAGCTTGTGCAAATATACATTTAGTGGCTCCTGTAGTCAATATAGTCAGTATGTTTTCTCCCCTCCCCTCCGCTCCCATCACCCTTCCCTTCCCTCCTCTCTTTCCCTGACCCCTCCCCTCCTCTTCTCATACTCTTTTTAGATGATCCTGGTAATATATTGCTCATTTATTTATCAAACATGTGATGTATTGAGTTGTTATTATGTGACAAGCATGTGTTTACAATGGAAAAGCAAAAATACCAACCAAAAAAGAACAATTCTTCCCCCCCCATCACAGCCCCAGACCTCAAGAAAGCTTCTAGTTAGATGGGGGTAATACAGATAAAGTGGTAATTTAGTTGTGTCAAAAATTTGAGTTGAGAATGCACATGATTTAATAGAGATTTGGACTTTGGGTTGAAAAAAATGCATGATATAAATGTGAGATTGCAATGTGACTAGAACAGTGAATTGAGGGGAAAAGTGCAAAAGTTGCATCTGAAAAGTACACAAGAATTGGAGATAAAGGGTCATTTAGGACATTATAAAGAGTTTGGACTTTATTAATGAACTAGAGGCCCAGTGCACGAAATCGTGTGCAGGTATGGTTCCTAGGCCTAACCTGCGATCAGGGCCATCTTCCCCAGCTGCCGGCAGCCGGTCTCGCCTCCTGCCTCCATCCACCTGGGTTCCCAGTTTGCCATTGGGTGATGGGAGCCTGACAGCCGGCGGGGAGGGACCGAGAGGCCCGCTGTTCCCGCGCCCCACCCTCACCGCGGGTTGGCCTCTGTGTGGGGCAACCGGCGGGGCGGGGCGGGGGCCTTGGCCTGGTGCCACCCTGGTTCCCCATTCACCATCCAGTGATCGGAGCCTGTGGGCCGAGGGAAGGGACCAAGAGGTTGGCCATTCCGCCCACTCGCCAGTCCTGCCCCCCCACTGCCACCCACCCTGGTTTCCTGTTTGCCATCCGGCGATTGGAGCCTGCTGGCCGGGGGGAGAAACCAAGAGGTGGTCAGTGCATCTCATAGTGACTAGTCGAGCGGTCGTTTTGCCGTTATGGTCGCTGGGCTTTTATTATATAGGATGTTTTGAGAAGCCATTGAATAGTTTTAAGAAAGATAGTGCTGTGTATGTATTTGGCTACAGTACAGCAAATTCTTTGACAGGAACAGGGCTGGAAGCAAAGATTGATTAGGACACTATTGCAATTTACTTGAGAATTATCATTGTAAAATTCATTTTCTTCTGGGATTTTAATCTGAGTTTTAATTAATTGTTTGTAGACATTATTCTTGTCTTTTGAGTACTTTAATTCTCATTTTGTCTAATGATTTTTCTTTGGCAGTCTTTTGTAATACTTCTGTGGCTAAAAGAATAAAGCCTTTTCTTGATGTATAGACAAAAAAGAAAAGCTACTTCTAAATCATTATTTGCCACACTTTGTGAAAGACTGGTAAAGAGTTCAGAAAAAGCTTCTTTTTATTTATGGTAGTATACACATAATGTTATATTGATAGACCATTTAAAAAAACTTAGTAGTATCTTTAGGTATATAAGAAAAAATAGGAGAGAACCAAGATGGCAGCATAGTTAAATGCCAGTACGCGCCGCCTCCCACAACCACATCAGAATTACAACTAAAATACAGAACAACCATCATTCAGAACCTCCTGAAAGCTGGAGAAGTAAAGAAGAAAGCACATTGAGACTGGTAGCTGGGCGGAGGTGCGGAATGGGCTGGTCTGACATCCACGTGTGCCGTTTTTTAATCGGGAGGGAGATAGTCTTTGTGGAGGCTGCCTGTGAGAAGCAGGTGATCCCAGCCGCACACCAGACCCCCAGGCTAGGGTTTCAGAGCTGGGAAGAGAAGAGTCCATAATTTCGGGCTGTAAAAACCAGAGGGGATTGTGGCTGAGTGACATGGAGGCTGCTGGAGACCCAGGTGTTCCTGTTAAAGGGCCAGCACACGAACTTACTCGGACTTGATCTCTCTGAGCCAAAGCGCCAGGCTGCTTTCGGGGACCGAGACACATATGGGGAGGAATTAGACTGTCTGGCATCGGGGCAGGAACTCAGGGGTGGCTTTTTCCCAATGGAGATGCTCACAGGGGTCATTGTTTCCTGTGCTAGGACATCCCCCCCATCACAGAGCTGGCTGGCAGCCATATCTGAGTTCAATCAGCATGGTGGTCAGTGTGCTCCCACAGGGAGAGTGCTGCTCAGCCAGAAGCCCTGAGCTGGGTTCACGGCTGGCGAGTGCAGTGGGGGTGGTGGGAGCCTCTCCTGCCTCCACGGCAGCGCTAAGGATGTCCGATTGACGGCATAGACCTGCTCATCGCATTGGCTCACCGAGGGCCTATGCCATCAGTCAGACATCCCCGAGGGGGATGTGAGAGGGTGCAGGCCAGGCTGAGGGACCGCCCCCCCCCCCAAGTACACGAATTTCATGCACTGGGCCTCTAGTTTTATATAAATGGAATCACACAACATGTGGCCTTTTGTGTCTGTTTTTTTTTTATTTAGCACAATGTTTTCAAGATTCATCCATGTTGTAGCATGTATTAATACATCATTACTTTTTATTGTGGCCCGGTGTACAGATTTGTGCACATTGAAAGGAAATTAATTAGAAGAAATATTTTAATATTGCTGTTTGCCCTTTCTCTATAATAGAAGTTTCAGAGATGAAAGAAAATTAGTAAAATGTATATGAAAATAATATATAAGTTGATTAATAAGCAATAACAATGTGATACAACAACAAAGACATGATATAAAAACATTGATAAAAACAATGACTGATAAATTGATTAAATTTATTCTAATATCTTCCTGTATACCACATTAAGAGTAAAAACACTCACAGTGCTTGACTAATTTCCCTTGTGATGAAGTATTTACAACTTTAACGTCAAACGCTCTTCGAAATCGAGAGAAAGCAACATATAACTGACCATGTCTGAAAACGAGTTCAAGTAGGAATATTCCTACTCTGTTTATAGTTTGTCCTTGTGATTTATTAATAGTCATTTATTAATGAAAAAGTTCTGCAATTAGATGCTGGCATCACGGGAAACTGTCTTCGAATTAATTTAAATGGGAGGCCAGTGTCATATGGGGACAAATCAATTCTTGGAATCAGAACAACCTCTCCTTCCACAGATCTTGTTAATACTTCAGCTTCTATTATCTTAGGTCACACTCTTTTGATAATAAATCTAGTACCATTACAAAGACCCCATTTACTATTAAGATTTCTCAGCATGATGATTGCATCTACTTTCAGTTTTAATTTATGGCACAGCATTCCCGAAAGAATAATACTATTAAGAAATTTGATGGGAAAATTTTCCTTTTCAGCATCATCCATTGAATCACTGAAATCATCACATAGGTGTGAAAATCTCCATCGAGTATATCCAAAATTTCTTCATTTAATTTATGAACGTGTTCATTTTTTGGACAAAGAATCGCTCATTTAGATATATTTTTAATATTATCCATAGATACACTATTTCCAAAGGTAGCTTCAACAATAGATCCGTTACAAATCATTTCAATAATATCCATTCTGAGAGCTTTATATGTATTGCACATGCGCGAGTCAGCATTTATTTTTAAATTGCCAGTGTGCATCATATGTACTGGCTGGTCGGTCGAACAGTTGGACAGACATACGGTTTGTCACTTAGCCTTTTATATATAGAGATAATATTCCATTGTATGACTATATCACATTTTGTTTATACTTTCATCAGTTGATATTTGAATTGTTTCCATCTTTTGGCTATTATGAATAATGCTGCTATGAACATTTGTTTAATCGTTTTTATGTGGATGTATGTTTTCATTTCTCCTTGATATATATGTTGGAGTCGAATTACTGAGTCAGTGTTAACTCTGTGTTTAAGTTTTTTGTGTATGGTATAATATATAAGATTTACCATTTTAACTATTTTATTTTTTAATATATTCTTACTGATTTTAGAGAGGAAAGGAGAGGGAGAGAGAGATAAAAACATCAATGATAAGAGAGAATCATTGATTGGCTGCCTCCTGCACGCCCCCTACTGAGGATCGTGCCCGCAACCTGGGCATGTGCCCTTGACCGGAATCGAATCCGAGACCCTGCAGTCCGCAGGCTGATGCTCTATCCGCTGAGCCAAACCAGTTAGGGACCATTTTAACTATTTTAAAGGTACAGTTTAATGTAATTAAGTACATTTACAATGTTATACAACCATCACCACTACCTAATTGCAGAAATTTTTCATCACCCCAAAAGGAAATCCATTTCCCCCTTGCTGCATCCTTAGACAACCAATAATTGGCTTTTTGTTTCTGTGTATTTTCCTATTCTAAATATTTCATACAAATGGAATCCTACAATATGTGTTGTTTGTCTGGCTTCCTTCATTAAACATCATGTTTTAAAAATTTATTCATGTAGTTATAGCAGTACTTCTTTTCTTTTTAATGCTGATGCTATAAACTGCATTGGTTCCTCTCAAAATTCCCATGTTGAGGACCTAATTCCCATTGTGATTGTATTTGGAGATAAGAGCTTTTATGAGGTAGTTAAGATTAAATGAGGTCATAAAGCTGGGGTCCTAAGCCGATAAATCATGAGGCCTTATAAGAAGAGGAAGAGGAAGATCTTTCTCAGTGTATGCACCAAAGAAAGGCCATGTGAGGTGACTGTCTACAATTCAAGGAGGGAGTTTTCATCAAACACAATCCTGTTGGCACCTTGATCTTGACTTTCCTGCCTCCAGAACTGTGAGAAAACAAATTCCTGTTGTTTAATTCCATCAGTTTGTGGAATTTTGTTTTGGCAGCCTAAACTGACTAAGACAGCTGAATAATATTCCATCGTATAGGTATATCACATTTTATTTCTTCATTTATTTAGTGACTAGAGGCCCAGTGCACGAAATTCATGCACTCAGGGGGGCGGGTTTCTCAGCCTGGCCTGTGCTCTCTCTCAGTGCGGGAGCCTGCGATCGATTGCCCCAAAGAGGTAGGCCCTGCCCACCCATCCGGGGCTCCTCGATGGATTGCCCCAAAGAGGTAGGCCGGAGTCGGGGGTCCCGCCTTTGCGCCACACGGAGCCGCGGGACTCCGGCCTCACCACGCAGAGCTGCGGAACCGCCAGGCCTCACTGTGCGGGAACCGCAGGCTCTGCCTCTGCGCCACGCATTCAGCATCAAGCCCCTGCCCACCCGTGCATGCCCGTTGCGCACGCAGCCTCCTGGTGATTTCTTGTTATGGCGTGAGGGCATCACGGCGTGAGAGCATGACGACCTCATAGGCTTTTATTAATAGGATGGATATTGGGTTGTTTCGACCTTTGACTGTTGTAAATAGTGTTGCTATGAACATTCATGTGCAGGTTTTAGTTTGAATACCTGTTTTCAACTCTTCTTTTGTCAGAGTGTCTTATATTCTTAAAAACTAGTGTTCTGTGAAACACAGTTTGGGAAATTATGCCTGATGTTATTTAATTTTGATGTTGATTTCAGGAAATTAAATAATTTGATTTATTTTTGACTTTTAAAGAAAGATAGCTTTCTCTAATGCCTCATATTGGTAAAAGTGACAATTACGCAGGATTTGCTGGTGTGACTTTGGAGATGATGTGTCTCCTACGACAAAAGCA